AACATATTTATATGCCAAACTACCTCTCTTTTAGGTAGATTTTTCATTAAATAAGGATTTATTAAATGCCTACTATATGCTGGAAAATATTATAAATGATAATTTTTGTTGATATTATTTTTAAGTACCTGTTTGTATCTTATAAGCTACATCAAAAAGTAATAAAATTGAATATTTTTAGCAAAGATAAAGATTCTGTGATGAGGTTTTCATTATATCAGCATGGCTCTCCCAAATTTTCATCATCCAGATTTCTCTGGGTGTACTGCGTTTTTGTCAATATCCTGATCTTTTTCCTGTAAGTGGAGAATAACATACTCATTTTCCCCATGTTACTCTCCATAAACGCAACCAGATGCTGAGATGCCATTTAGAGCAATGGGGCACCCTAGTGGTCTGAGCAAGCCAATGAAGCTCCCCCTCAGCATTTGAATCAGGTCTCATAGTTTTTAATAAAAATTAAGCAATTAGAAATAATTAGCATAATAATATTAGTCATGTTATAGCATCTGATGAAAAGCATTTTTTTAATTAACAGACTAATTGTACTTAGAAAAGCATAGACGACTAAACATTTACTCATCTTAAATTTCAAGGGCCAAGTAGCCTGCATGCTATGTTTCTATTTCTTACATATATCCATAAGCTGTGAAGTACATGTTTGGTGTGTTTTGAATTTATGGAACAGTTTTTTAGATCCAAACTGTGTGACTCTTATTTCTTGCCCTCAGGTGAAAAAATGTGATTTTTTAAAAACCCTTTTCCACTCAAAGCATATCAACTTATCTTTTTTTTTTTTTCTTTTTGTATCTGACTTAGCATCATAGAGTTTGTTAAGAGAATAGCCTCCTGAGACAAATCATATGATTTATGTCATGGTTGTGCTTCTCATGAGTAGGGAGACTTTAAGCAAATTGATTATCTCTCTGTATCTTACTTTTCCCATCTATAAAATATGGGTAAAACTAGTACATTATCACATAGTCTTGTGAGAATCAAAGAGGTTATTAAACAATGCCTGCAACACAGTAAGCACTATACAATTACTTCCTGCTAATATTATTCCTTTCAAATAGCAGTCACATCTATTATCTGCACAATAATACTTTGCCTATACGTACATCCTGAACCCTTGGAAGTTGTTTATTTTTGTATGCTTCAAATATCCAAGAGTCTACAGAAAATGAACTATTTTAAGGAAATATCTTCAGCCAAAACCAGGCCAGGAGCTGATCCTGGAACAGACCATCAACTGCTCATAGGCAAATTCAATTTGAAGTTAAAGACAATGAAAACAAGTCCAAGAGAGCTAAAGAATAGATTTGATGCATTGAACACCAATGAC